CCTCAATTTCCATAGGAAGAAACTGGCTCAGAGAAGATGGACAACATGGGCAAGATCACCCAGCTAGTAAGTGGAGGAGCCAGAACTTAAACCCAGATCCACCTGACACCAACACCTGGTTCTGAACCACGGTGTGCAAGTCCTTGTAAAGTCAAACAGCCCCTTTAATAAGCTCGACTATATTTTCTCTTTCACCAAATCGCAGAACATCTGGTCTGCTTAATTTTATGAGACTGTAATTACAGTAACGAAAAGGATGTTAGCCTACTCTGAAAACCCTAGCTGAAGGGCTTTCTATTGCTTTGTTTAGAGATTTGTTCTTTTCACTCCACCTCCACCCCCTACTCCCCAAATTGGATAGTAAGTTCTTTAAGGAAGGTTCTGGAAAGTTTTTTTGTTTTTGTTTTTCCTTTAAGTTCTGGGTTACATGTGCTGAACTTGCAGTTTTGTTACTTAGGTATACGCGTGCCATGGTGGTTTGCTGCACCCATCAACCCATCACCTACATTAGGTATTTCTCCTAATGTTATCTCTCCCCTAGCCCCCCACACCCCACAGGCCCCTCCTTGTTTCCATGTGTTCTCATTGTTCAACTCCCACTTATGAGTGAGAACATGCGGTGTTTGGTTTTCTGATCTTGTGATAGTTTGCTGAGAATGGTGGTTTCCAGCTTCATCCATGTCCCTGCAAAGGACGTGAACTCATTCTTTTTTATGGCTGCATAATATTCCATGGTGTATATGTGCCACATTTTCTTTATCCAGTCTATCATTGATGGACATTTGGGTTGGTTCCAAGTCTTTGCTATTGTGAACAGTGCTGCAATAAACATATGTGTGCATGAGTCTTTATCATAGAATGATTTGTAATCCTTTGCGTATATGTCCCGTAATGGGATTGTTGGGTCAAATGTTATTTCTAGTTCTAGATCCTTGAGGAATCGCCACAGTGTCTTCCACAATGATTGAACTAATTTACACTCCCACCAACAGTGTAAAAGTGTTCTTCTTTTTGGTTCTGGAAAGTCTTATGCTCCTCTGCTTTCTATAGTTCTCATAGGGCCTGGCATACAGTGTGTACTCCATAAATATTGACTGATTGATGAATGTGTGGACATTCCATGCAATAGTTTTTGGGTTGTTCAACACCATTTCTTAATGCTAAGCAAATAGGTTAGAACCTTCAAGACGTCTGTTGTCTTAATCTAGCTGCTTGCACTGAGATAACTTTTTAATATCATCTCTGCACAGGAGCTGAATGCCTTCTTTGGCACCTGGATGATTGATTGTGTTTTCTCCTTTTCCTCGGAAAGCTCTGGTATTGTGCAGATGCTGCTTTAGGTGATTAACAATGCTGCCAATTTCACCAGCCACCTTTGCAGACAATTCTTGAATTTTATAGGAAAGTGGAAACCTGTTTAAGTATAGTTTCTAGTTAATTCTGCTTCCCCACCCTGGTTTTCTCAATGCTACATAACAGATTTTCTTTGTGGAATGAGACAGAATAGAAAAAATAAAAATACATTCTTGATGGCTGAGAGAAGAGAGTCCTTAAGATTTTACCAGCTTGGTATTTCTCACTGTTGGAACTTCAACCCAGGATGCAGATTCATCCTAGTGAGCCCCACAGGAACCTCTGCCTTGGTCTAGAAGATACAGTGGAAATATATAGGATAGGACAGATAAGGTCAGCAGAAGCCAGTTTTCAGCACATACCATGTGATTGCTAGAATAATAAAGATAACAACCATTTACTAGCAGATTACTACGTGGCAGGTACTGTGTTAAGCATCTTATAGACATTCATTGTTGTTGCCATTTTTCCAGGTGAGCAAACTGCAGCTCAGAGAGTCTAAGTGAATTTCTTTGTCTTTAAGCAGTATGAGATAGACCCTGGACTTGAACTCAGGTCCACCTGATTCCAGAGTACATAGTCTTTTCGCTACAGTGCTTTGCAGGGAACTGTGCTGGCTTCTCAAATGGTTTGGGGCTATCTGCGTGAGGCTGACAAGAAAACTATTTAAAGGCTGGTAGAAGAGGGCCCTAACAGAAGGTCTGACTCTCATTTTCTTTCTATTTGCAGAAGATAATTATTCCCTGTTTCAATATCAGAAGGGGATCTAGTTGAAGGCAAAAGGCCACAGGGTTCTGGTGAGGCACAAGTTCAAACCTTGCTGTAGTTGGACCTGTTCTACTGACTATCAACATCCTGGGTCCGTGTGATGATAGTGTCTGGGGACTGGAGATTGGAGGTTCAGAGTGGAAGAGCTGGCATATGCCGCAAAATGCACCCTCTTGGGATGGAGCAGGAAACTCAACTGCAGCTGTTTAGTGGGGCACCCAAAGAGAGTGGCCACAACAGATACCAATTTAGAGAAGCTCTTGACTTTGGTGAAAGCAGAGGTCCTGCCCAGCCTAGCTGAACTGAGCAGGAGTAGGTGAGGCTTAGGAATCCTACCAGGTGCTAGTAGCAAGGATGGGACTCTAGTCCTTGGAGGCAAGGGTGAAGGAGTTCGGAGCCTGGGAAGAACCAGACAAAACCCCAGTCCCACTGAAACTGAATGACTAGACTGGTGGCGCTCAACTGAGACAATACTGCCCCCTAGGAGACTTTTGGAAAATGCAAGAGGATATTCAGAGGACTGGAAATGGGGATGCTAGATGTTCTCAAATGCCCACAACAGACTTGCAGAATGAAAAATAGTGTAGCATCCCGAATGATTTTTGAATGTTCTGATGGACTTCTATGGAGCTGAAATCTGCTTTTCTAATTATCTAAACTTTTACTATAAATGTTTTATACCTAAGTACAAAGGGTTTTGCTTCCCCCGCCCCGACCTGACAGTTTTAATGAACTATTCTGTAAAGATATGGAATATTACACGGTTACAGAGGTTCACACAGACTCATTCATTCACCATTTCAGGAAATCATGTCAACAGTTGTGATGTTGCTTTTGGAATTGATCAATACAGCATATCAGTTTGTGTCCATAACTGTTGCATTCATGGGGATTCTATATAAAGGCACAAGCTTCTGACCACTTCATTTAATCTTTCAATGTAGTCCTGTGTGAGCATTTACATAATTAAATACATAGTGTTTTATTATGGATTGCTTTATTTTCTCTTTATATGGCAGGACATATATCTATCTTTTTGAACTTATGAGTGTAGTTAGATTATAGTACCTAGAAATTTAATTTCAGGATAGTAAAGGGGTGAAGCAAAAGCAGATTTATTATAAAAAAGAGGATGTTAAGTCTGATAAGGTTGAACACCACTGTGCTAGCCTGATGGCTTCGTGAGGGTCAGGACCATGTCTGTTTTGCTTCCGTTTGGCCTAATTAACTGAGGTGCTTATAAATAATGAATAATGAATGTGCATGCAAGCACACAGCTGGAGTCAGGCATGTAGGTCAGCATAGTCGGGGTGTATAACACTGGCAGGAGATGGGGACTTTTGATCACCAAAAGAGGGCAGGATCCCAGTTATCAGAAGAGAAACTGTAGTTCAGAGTTTGCCTCAAAGCTAGAGCGTCCTAATGTCAAGGCCCAGGGCTTCTTACAGTCCTCTTATCTCGAGACATGCTGGAGCCAAGGGACTGACGTCAGATGGTCCCAGTGGTGAAGAGTTGTGTTTACATTCTCACTTGCTGGTATCAATCATAGGGGCCCAAAGACCTCACTGCCTAAAAAGAGGGCTGTTTTCCAGCTTGGCTGTACCTCTTTGCATTGTTTTGTCTGGCCAAGACAGAGAGGATACCAGGGAAAATGAGGCTTGAGTATTGTATGTATAATCTGTCAATGCCCTCCATGCTCCCATTAAGATCTCAGGCAGTCTTGGCCTTGAGGCAGATCCAGCCCCCGTATTTTTCTGTTGTTGCTGCCACTGTTGTTTTTTTTTTTTCCACTCCCCTGATCCCATCAATAATATGTGTACTCCTTCCTTCTGGGTCCTGTCCTCAAAGGTAACTGCTAAATATCTGACAAATGAATCGCTAAAGCCTTCAGGGCTCCTGATGAGAGAATGGGCTCCCACTTAGCATGAAGGGCAGGGGGCAGCACCTCACTTAGAGATATGATGCATAAGTACAGAGGGAGGTATTGCACCGCCTGTTGTCAGGAGCAGAAGGGACCCTGAGGTCATCTGGTTCACTAGATCCCAAACCTGGCTGTACAATGGAATTACCAGGAATGCTGTTGAAATACAGATACAGTGTGGCTCCTAATCCTCAGAGTCTGATTCAGTAAGTCTGAGATGAGGACTTGAATTATCTGCATATTATTAACAGTATCACTGGTGATTTCGATGAGGAACCCAGTTAGGGAAACCACTCAAACTGACTTCCTCATTTGATGGGTAGCCAGCTGAGTCACCAAAGGGATGATGACTTGCCCCGGGTCACATAGCAAGTCATGGCAGAATTGGAAATGGAAGTAGGAGTTTTTTCTCCGCTGTATTGGTGGCGGGACGATCTGACATTATTAGTGTGGGAAGAAGGACCTTAAATTTCACTGTACAAGCTGCTGCTCACTCTGCCTAGAGGTAGAGGACAGAGGGCATCTTAAAGGTTGTTTCTCCTTATAAGAAGAGTACATTTACTTCAGAGTTTGGAAGTGAATCAGCAAAATACCCATCAAGATTAGTAGGACAAGAAGAACTCGCCAATATCTTTGACGATGTGTATCCATGAAAAGCCAAGTGAAATAATGGAGGTAATTATCCACCTATTTTGTTCGAACAGTTTGACCGAAAATCTCCTGGTAACTGAGGGAAAATAGGAGCTTTTAAAAATTGTTGTCTCAAGTAGCCTGAATGTCATCAACTCCCACTTCACTTTTCTTTTTCTGTGGAGATGCTCTCCCAGATGCCTGTCTCCTGGGGGTAGCAGCTTTCTACAGACAAAATGTCCACAGCTTTGGGAAGTATGGAGGGAGAAGGGAAATATTAAGTGAAATGGGATGTCAGGTCAAGCTGCGTTGGTTTTGATGTAGTCACCTGTCCTTTCAAGATAACCTTTTGGATCCTAGATCTGTTGTAGCTGGGGCCTTGGGACAAGTCCCGGCAGCCTCCAAGCCACAAGCTTATCATTTTGGCATAATTCAAGGCAGCCTCCTTGAAAGGCTCCACGATGGCAGCTGCTCCATTAGCAACTGGATGAAAGCAATGCCAAATCTCTTTATTTAAAATTAGACACTTCCTATTTTGGTTCCTAAATGGCAAATTTATCTGCTCTCTGCCTCCAGTCTTCTGTGTCCAAAGCTGCCTTAATGTGAGGTATTTCAGCAGCAATCAGCAAGTGTCTGCCTATTTATAAGCAACAGAGCTGCCATGGGTCACTGCACTTGTATCTCTGAGCAAGAGAAGTCAGGGGGCCCATTGGAAAGGAAAAATGCTGTGGCCTCCGGCAGTGAACCTTGGCGTGGGTCAGGGAAGACAGTTCAAGTGCACCAGAGAATGGAGCTGTAATGAGTTCAGTTGTGTATCACTGGTATGGAAGTCAGCAGTCCCAAGATCTAGGAAGAGTTTGGTCACCACTAATTTGCTACATGACCCTGGGCAAGAGTTGCCCCTTCTTGGACCTCAGCCTCAACATTTCTGGGGAAAAGGATGCACAATTTAATGCATGGTGCCATTTACTGTGACAACCAGTCTGCCATCAAAATATAAAGCTGAATCTTTATCTCACTCCTTATTCCAAAATATAATCCAATTAGGTCAGATTTAGATGTTAAAAAGAGAACCATTAAAAGATTAGAAGAAGGCATAAGAGAATATTGAGGTAGGGAGTCTTTGCAAAGCAACAAGAAACTGAATGATAGATTTGACTATGCAAAATTTTAACAACTTGGGTATGGTGAAAGATATCTCATGCAAAGTGGAAAGACAACATATAAACCAGGATAAAGTCACAACATAGAAGGAAGACAATGGTTTATTATTCAGAATACTCCAACAGCTCCATTGTAAGAGGTGTGTTATTTTCTTTACAGTACTTACCATGATTTGCAATGACATGATTTAGCTATTTGCTTTTCTATTATTTCCTCTGCTTACATGTTAGCTTCATGAAAGCTCAGGCTTTGCTTACTCACTATTATATTTCTAGTGCTAGACTGGTGCCTGGCATACAGTAGGTACTCAGTAAATACTTGTTGAAGGAATGAATAAATGAGCTTCTATAGATCAGTGAGAAAATGATGAACAATTCACTAGCAAAATGCTCAAAGAATAATGAACAGGCAATTCACAGAGGAAACCCAAAGGGCCTATGCCCTATTAAAAGGAATTCCAATCAGTAATAATTAAGAAATGCAAATTAAAACAATATTGAGATGATTGAGATGTCAGTTTTTACCTCTCAAATTGGCAAGCATTTAAAAGGTCACGAAAACCCAGGGTTTGTGAGAATGTGGTGAAACAGGCACACTCATTCACTCTTGATGCACACCTGGAGGACAACTGGAAATGTTATTTGAGTCAGCAAGTCCTCTCTTAGGAGTTTATCTTTGCAAAATGCTCCATGTATAAGGATGTTCATTTAAACATTATTTGTAAATAGGAACAAATTGAAAAAACTAAATGACCTCGGTGAAGGACTGGTTAAATCATCTATAATACATCCCAATAATGACATACTAAGCATTACTATGCTAATGATTAAGAGTTTGAGCCTTGGGTAGACTGCCTAGGTTTGACTTCCTCCTCTAGCTTTTATGAGCTATGCGACCTCGACCAAGTTTCTAACCTCTCTGTGCCTTTTCTCATCTGTAAAATGGGAAAAATAACCATTCATGAAGTTGTGAAGAGTAAATGAGATAATTCATGTGAAATATTCAGATAGGACCTGGCACAGAGCATTTAATAATTGCTATATTATATTCCAACTACTAGTATAATGACGACAATGATGATGTAGCCCCAAATAAAGACAAGCAAGGTCTTTAAATACTGATGTGCAATGACATCTCCAATATAGTATTGTGATAAAAGCAAGCTGCAGAAGAGTAAGTATAGTAGGATCTGATTTTTGTTAAGGGTATTATATGCTACACATACAGGAAAAGACTGGAAGGATAGACAGACTGTCAACACTGCGGAGTAGAATAGGAGAGGTAGATTTTCCCTTGAGCAATAATTAGAGTTGTTTGAAACAAGCATGTGTTACTTTTATAATAAACAAAAGATGTAAAGGGGAAAAAAAGCTCCATTTGGAATTCCGAGGACAGTTAATCCCACCAGGCTTCACATCCCCCAGTTCTTGGCCACAGCCCAAACGTTAAGCCTCCTTGCTCGTCATCTGTCCTCTCCCATACCATCCTCATACTGCTCAGTGCTCCCATCCCCGCCACCCCGACTCATCCACCTCCCCACTACCACCCTCTCTCACTCTTCTCAGTACCCTCTGGAAGCCTCCACCTTGCAGTAAACAATTCCCCCTGCACCCTGGATAAATTTTACAGAACACTATTGTCTACCTCCGGGCCTGAAGTGCTGAAACCTGAGTCTCCACGGCGGATCTCACGGCTTTGCCACCGGCGCCCTCTAGTGGACACTGTTCACACTCCCACACTACAGGCACCCTAGGGCTGGGAGGTGGGGTCTGTGCTCTAGCTTCCCCTGTTTGCTTCCAGGCTGTTAGTCCTCCGTCCTCAGCCAAGAACTCCTCCTTCTCATGCCATCTGGCTACTTCTCTCCTCGTTGACGCTTCTTTATAACCATCCCCTCCTGGTCAGCCCCCCTACCCCCACATTCAAAGAAGAGTTCGACATCTGGCTCACTGTCTTCTTCTCCACCCCAAGTCCTGACATCATTCTGGGTGAGTTGGACATCCGTGATCCATGTACAGGACACACTCTCATCCTAGCCTTACCATGCTTCATCGTCAGTCAGAATCCCCTACCATCTACACCTTGCTGGCTGGCCTCAACACTCTTCTTTTTACCTCAGGAGGCTCTCCAGGTTTCTGAGCCCCCTCCATCCATTTCTTCCATCCCATCAGCCCCTTTCACCTTACTACCTTCCCTCTCCATCCTCCAAAATAATGATGATAAGAATAACAACAAATATGTATATGCCAGGCATATACTACCCATCTTATGACATCATTTCAATAATCTCATGTTATCCTCACAATAACTTTATGAGGAAGGTACTCTTGTGGTTTTCCTTTTAATGAGGTGACTGAGGCTCAGAGAGGTTGAATGACTTACCCAAAGTCCCACAGCAGAGATGAGATTTGAAGTAAGGTCTGTTTGCTTTCAGAATCTTGTGTATATCCCCAACTCCCTTGCCCTGTGTCTTTCTGCTGCATCCATGAGGCAAAATCCCAAGTCTGGATAAATTTAACTGAGAGTTTCCTCCTCTGTGCTTATGCCCAGATGGAGGAACATTGCTGGAGAAAATCCCATCACTTTGTTGGTTAGTCCCACCAGAAAGTCATAGTTTCCAACCTCAGCGGGGCCCTCGACTCAGCTAAACAATCCTTCTAACTAACTGTCCTGACAATAGCACTTGCAAACTTTCTCCATAGCCCTCTGGAGTCAGACTGTCTGAGTTAGAGTCTGCCTTGGCCACATCCATGCTCCATACCATGCCAGCCTTTAAGAAAGGGTGAAGTTAAAAAAAAAAAAAAAAAAGAAAGGGTGAAGTGGAGGAAAAAGGATGAGGGGAAAGGGGAAGTGACATATATTGAGTGTCTTCTAGGTACCAGCCACTGTGCCAGGTGCTTTGCATGCAGTATTTCATTTAATCCTGCCAACAGCTCTGCAAGATCAATACTCCTGTTATTTTTGCTTTACAGAGGAGGAAGCTGAGGCACAGACAGGTTAAGTCACTCACTAACGTGACACAATTTGTACGTGGAGAAGCCATCTCATTCGTTTAGACCTTCCTTATCTTGATGAATTATTGTGACAAGCTGCTAAATGACTCCACTGTTACCTATCTCACGGCCTACAATCTACCTTCCATTCTGTTGCTGGGACAATCTTTCTAAAATGCACACTTGACTGTGCTACTACTCTGCTTAAAGTCCTTCCAGAGCTTCCCCTCAGTCTTCAGAATGAAACAGAAACCTTTGATCTTAATGATTTGGCCCCCTCCTTCCTTTCTCACTGTATCCACTACCACTTGCCCATGCAGTCACGCAGAACTATTTTTGGTCACCTGATGACACCTTGCTTTCTTCTGAAGAAAGAAGAAAGCATATATATGTGTTCTGCCTCCCCATCCTCCACACCCTTTCCTGTGCACCTTAAATGCTCCTCTTGTGTGCTTTCTCAACATTCATGTTTATCTCAGTGTGTTCCTGCTGTCTTGTCTGTTTCCCCCATTAAACTGGAAGCAGCTTGAGAACTGGAATTGTGCCTTAGTCATCTCTGCACTCCCCAGGGCCGTAGCACCAGAGCCATGGTTAAATCTATGTTAGCTGAATGACTGAATGAATGAATGAATGGAGTGAATGAGAGAAGAAAAAGCTCTCACTTGGAAAGTTTAGTGACATGAGCTGTATGGTATCTGATTCTTGGCTGAAGTTGCTGCAGTTTTTCCCTATGACTACAGTGCTATAAAAATATGTCTGCACGTGGATAAAGACTGGAAGAGAACTTTCCACACAAAATTAAGAGTTGTGTTAGAGTGGTGAGTGATGGATGCTTTTTTCCCCATTTTCAAAATGTTCTTTAGTACTGCTTTTGGATTGTTTTGGCAATGTAGCAGACATTGTAGAAATGGAATCTGGGGCTCCCATGGAGGAACCGACAACCAATATGCATTGATGTCCAATGTACTCTGCTGGGATCTGGGTGCTGTGGGGAGACGGGTGGGTAAAGGCGACTCATTCTGACTCAGGTTTGCATGGTCAGGTATCTTGCCAATTAGGTTGGATTTGCTGGAATAAAATGAGAACTTTCAAGAATTTTCCAAGCTCCTGGGTTGAGGTATTTATTTTCTCCCAAAGCTGGGCCGCAAACAAAGATGGCTTTTGTTTGCAGTAAAATACTCATTCCTTCAATTTTGTCCTGCAAAGTGACTTCTACAGCTTTGGGAGTCAGGTTTGCTGAGTGGGGAAACTGATTGTCCATACTTCGGTGGTTTAGAAATGACCAAAAATGTTTGCCTTTTCTGGCTCTTGAATAAAATGTTTAGGAATTTCATTGGCAAAATGATGAAATTGTTCCTTTACTGCTGCAAGATTTCCGAAACTATATATTGTGTGTTAACTCAGAAGAGGCAAAAAATGGGAAGCAGACTCAGATGATGAATACTCTACCTTAATTGGGTGCTTACTCACTCTGCCGTGGCAAGGCACTGTGTTCTGGACTTTGGAGATATCTCATTTAAAACTCTCAACAGCCTGTGGGGAAGGGACTGTTATTGTTCTCATGGTAGAGATGGTCAAACTGAGTTTCATAGAGGCTCAACTCTGAAATCATGAGACTAGGATTTGAAGCCAAGTTCAGCTGGTTCCATGGGCATGTGCTAACCATTTGGCAACAGTGCCTCTAGACTAGTCTGGCTACAAAGGGACAGAGGTATGTATTTATTTTGACTTAACGAACAGTTGTTTAGTGTTTACCATGTCCTGGGCACATGATAACTGCTTTACAAATGTTAGATTATCTACTCCTCGTAGACCACCCTGTGAGGAGGTACTATTATTAATATCATATGACAGGTGAGAAAATGGGGGCACAGGGGTGTTAAATCACTTGCCTGGGGTCAGTCAGGCTAGCATGTGACAAAGCCAGAGTTACAATCCAAGTGGCCATGTTCAGGTGTGTGGCCCATTACCTTGACTCTGTGCTGGTTAGCATGCTACCCCCTGTGCCCTGTCTACATAGCTCTGGCTCAGAAACACTGAAGACATGGGCCTCTTTTTGTGGTTTTGTAACAGATTTGTACTTTTTAAAGTATTGTCCACCATTAAAGCTCTACGTTCTGCTTCTAAGGGTCCTGTGGGGTTGGTGGGAAAAGCGAATACATACTCCGTCCTTCTATAGCAAGACTAGCTTAGAGGCAAGGTTGCTCAGTGGTTAAAGCATGCTCATGGTGCCAGCTGAACTCACCTTCAAATCCTGGCCTCATTATTTCAGAGCAGAACCTCTCTGAACGTCTGTATCACTATCTTTGCTAAAGGAAGAGGAAGCTTTCTCCCGATATCTTCATTTACTTCCAGTTTTCGGTTTTGTGGGGAGAGCTGGGTTTCCTCCACAGCTAGGCGCTGGTGGCGAAGGGCTTTTGGACTGTCACCACTTTTCATTCAAGAGATACTTCAGGATAGCACCCTTCAAAGGCAGTCTGTTTGGGGTCACCAGGAAGAGACAGAATGCTCTTCCCTACTGCGCTCATCCCACCTAGTCCCATCTATCCTTCCCTACTCTGAGTCCCTCCTCTCAGCACTGCCTCATTCCCCAGAGCCAGGCCTAGACAATGGTGGCTGCTCAGCTTAGAGGGAGGGGGGATGAAGAGGCAGCAGGCCCAACCCACCAGCTTGAAAGCTTCATTTGACAGGGGAGGAGGCACATCTGGTTTGGGTTTTCAATTCAATTCAACAATGATTTATTGTGAGTCTGCCAGCTGCAGAAGTTCTGGGCTAGGCTAGGCAGCAAGAGATGCAAAGATAAGTAAAATACTGTCTGTGCCCTTAAAGGAGTTTTCTAGGTTGTAGGGGTGTGTAGACCCAAATGAGCATTTTTTTAATGTGATAAGCCCTGTGCTTAGTAGTTTGCCTTGCCTACATTATTATGTCTTTGCATCTTCCCAGCAGGTTTTGTGATGGAGGTGGGTAAACTATTATCCCTTCATTTGACACACATGAGGAAACAGAGTCTCAGAGAGGAAGAGACTGGCCCAAGGTCACATGGTTAAGAAGTGACCAAACCAGTCCTGGAACTATTACATTCTTCTGCTTCTCAGAGATGATGAAGATGATGATGATGACAAAAAACACTTACTGAGCTCTGGAGGTCGAGTCTTGTGCTATGTGGGCTGCAGATATTATTTTATTGGCAACTTCCAACATCCCATTGAGGCTGATGTTGTTATCCCTTTTTCTAGAAGAGAAAATGGAGGTAGCCTTGGGAAGTGATGGATTTGGAATTTGAAACCAGGTCATTCCAGTCCACCAGCCTGTACCATAAAAGAGGTAGACACGGGGTGCTATGTTCAGGGGCAAGAGCAATGAATTGTGCCTGGAAAGGCTTCATGCCAGAGATGGCATTTACATTTGGCCTTGAAGGGTGAGATGGGGTTATGCTTGGTACAGTTGGGAGAGAGGGTATCCCAGTCAGAAGGGATAATCTGAGCAAAGAACCCAAAGAGATGACTTGTGGAGCATTTTGATTGAGAGGTTGTAGGTTCATCCAGCATGCAGGCTGGGGACTCTGGGTGTAGAGGAACAATATGAAGGAAACCAGAGATACACCTGATGGTCTTCCACATTTTTGTCAAGTTGAGGTTCTTATTAAGAGCAGGTACTCTGCCCCAGAGGCTTTTCAAATGATACTATCTTGCAACCCATGAGCAAACAGGCTCGAGACTCTCACTGTGTAAATACTACTGTGCTGAGAGCTGCAGTGAATACAAAAGAAAACAACTCAATTCCTCAAGTGTGTGCCGAAGGCCCCCGTGTGGTTGAGGAGGCAAGATACACACAATCAGGAAAAGCAGCAGCTAGCACAGGCAGCTTGCGATGAGGGCCAAATGAGTTTTCCCAGCCTCAGATTTCAAGGAACATGAACGAGAGGAAGGCAAGCAAGCTTAAGGCCGGGTGGGGCAATCAGTGTAGCTGGCGTCAAGGGCTGTGGCGAGGCCTCCCTTCCCCAAACTGCCGCGGTCCCCAACCATGTCTTGACCTCCCAGAGTTTGTTAGGGAAGATGG